AACAATATACTGTTAAAGTGTGAGAAAGTTGACAATTAATTAACTAACTTGGTCTAAGAGAAAAGTCTAAAATCAATCGAAGGAAATACTAAACCTTCGAATCGATTTTCTTGTTTTCATCGTCCAGCGATGACATTTCTGATGTGTCATCGTTGCCAAACAAACGATCACCTGACCAAATTCCCATACCGGATGGGGATATAACGGCCAGACACTCATTAGTCAGGGCCAGGCCCGTCTTTGGGTGTGGGCCTACCGGACCTGAGCCCAAGGACCTCCAGACATTGGGGCCTTCTAACATTCCAGACCTCGAAAATATGCAAAATTGAATAGAGCAACAAGTAATAAAATTATTATAAACTGTAAACATTATAAATTATTATAAATGTTTGATAAATTTTATTAAACATAAATATAACAATATAACGTGACCACCACCTTATTGCTTGCTGAGGGAGTTTTATTAAAATCGAACGCTTTCGATCCACTTAACGGATCATCATCAGGATAGAATATACTAAAATGGAATACAACATAAATGGAACAATATGTTCAAAAATTCAAAAATATCCATAAACTGATAATATATCAATTAATAAAAATAATAATAAATTGTAAACGATACCAAATAATAAATAATATACTACGACGACCAAACATTAATAATAAGTTTCCTTTAAATCAAACAAATATCATATTTCAGTTGATGCGCTACTTGTAAGCTTCTTAACGGCAAATTTCCAAGCCGAGGGAAGACCTTCCGCATCCCTAGCATTAATGCATCCGTCTTTAAGTTTGCTCCTGTATATCTCCATTTTTTCGGCCGTCCTCGCCAAGGTTGGTGAGTGCACCTGTCTCACGACTTCCGCTTCCTCCCATCCAATCAGGGATCCTTGGGCCTGCGCCATCTGGGCCAATATTGTTGTATTAGACCCTTTTCTAGCATCATACTTATGTTCCCTAATCCTTACCCCGAGGTTTCTGGTAGTGACTCCTACGTAATCTTTTTTTATTCCTAATTGCTGGTTCTCGTATGGAATTTTGTAAACACCTGCCTTATCTACTTTTTTAATAACCCCTTTATCGTTTCTAAGAATTTTATATAAATTGGGAGCTCTTTTCAAAATCACCTTTGAACCTTTAACGCTTGCAATTTCCTTCATAATTCCTCCTAAATATTTGTTGAATGTAAATTTTGTGTACTTGGATGGACCTTGTCTAAAGACTTTATCATTGTTCTTCTCAAATTTTCTAACAATACCCGTTATAATATTTCTCTTATAACCTAAGGCTTCTGCTAACTGTATGATCCTTTCGATCTCAGTAACCCGGTCTATAATGTTGTCGCAGTATAGAAAAGCCCTTCTAACCAAGGCACGAAATGCTGCCATTTTGTAACGATAGGGGTCATTGGACTTAGCAGGGATGTATAGTGGGCTATGTGTTGGTTTTATGTACACGCTGGTGGATACATGCCCTTTGCTAAAGATGATATTAATATCCAAGAAANATTAACGCATCACAGAAACGAGATTATGGAAATGGCTAATCTTATATGTTGCGAACCTTTTTTCACTTTCGAAGGCCAAACTTATAAACAAAAGAGGGGAGTTCCGATGGGAAGCCCAATTTCGGGGCTTCTATGCGAGCTTGTGGTTAGAAAATTGGAAGAAAAAGTATTGCGAAGCTTTGAAAGAGAAATCGTTTTCTACAAGAGATATGTGGATGATTTATTTATAATATGGAGGAATAATCGAGAAATTACTAGCTTCATAGATAGAATCAACGATAACGAGGAAGGCCTCAGCCTGAAGCTAGAGCAGAAAAGTTCCGTGATGGTACATTTCTTAGATATTAATATCATCTTTAGCAAAGGGCATGTATCCACCAGCGTGTACATAAAACCAACACATAGCCCACTATACATCCCTGCTAAGTCCAATGACCCCTATCGTTACAAAATGGCAGCATTTCGTGCCTTGGTTAGAAGGGCTTTTCTATACTGCGACAACATTATAGACCGGGTTACTGAGATCGAAAGGATCATACAGTTAGCAGAAGCCTTAGGTTATAAGAGAAATATTATAACGGGTATTGTTAGAAAATTTGAGAAGAACAATGATAAAGTCTTTAGACAAGGTCCATCCAAGTACACAAAATTTACATTCAACAAATATTTAGGAGGAATTATGAAGGAAATTGCAAGCGTTAAAGGTTCAAAGGTGATTTTGAAAAGAGCTCCCAATTTATATAAAATTCTTAGAAACGATAAAGGGGTTATTAAAAAAGTAGATAAGGCAGGTGTTTACAAAATTCCATACGAGAACCAGCAATTAGGAATAAAAAAAGATTACGTAGGAGTCACTACCAGAAACCTCGGGGTAAGGATTAGGGAACATAAGTATGATGCTAGAAAAGGGTCTAATACAACAATATTGGCCCAGATGGCGCAGGCCCAAGGATCCCTGATTGGATGGGAGGAAGCGGAAGTCGTGAGACAGGTGCACTCACCAACCTTGGCGAGGACGGCCGAAAAAATGGAGATATACAGGAGCAAACTTAAAGACGGATGCATTAATGCTAGGGATGCGGAAGGTCTTCCCTCGGCTTGGAAATTTGCCGTTAAGAAGCTTACAAGTAGCGCATCAACTGAAATATGATATTTGTTTGATTTAAAGGAAACTTATTATTAATGTTTGGTCGTCGTAGTATATTATTTATTATTTGGTATCGTTTACAATTTATTATTTATTTTTATTAATTGATATATTATCAGTTTATGGATATTTTTGAATTTTTGAACATATTGTTCCATTTATGTTGTATTCCATTTTAGTATATTCTATCCTGATGATGATCCGTTAAGTGGATCGAAAGCGTTCGATTTTAATAAAACTCCCTCAGCAAGCAATAAGGTGGTGGTCACGTTATTTGTTTATTTTTGCTGGGTACGATTGTATTCAATATAACAATATGTTTAGAAGGTTTAGCAGGAAAAGCTAATTAAAAAATTCATGAATATTGTCCCTTCATTACGAATTCCCTAAGGGGCCTCCAAGCTTTTCTTGGCCCAGGGCATCGCACATATGAAAGACAGGCCTGGTCAGGGCAGACATTTCTAAAAGTCACGATAGTCTTGGCTCCCACCATAATTATAGTCCCCAAAAGATTACATAGATAATTGTTTGTGCTTTGTGCAAAGTTTCTCCCCCGGTCCTCTATGGACAATCTACGACAGACATCACTCTTAAAGAGGTATGAGATATGACAGATCTTATGTATCCTACGCTCTCGCTCTCTGGCAGAAATAGTTATCGATAGGCATTACACTCGCTTAATTGTAAAAACCACTTTTCAATGATTTGTACTAGACTGAGGAAACTGTATTCCTCTTGCCTAGATTTATGTTTGTAACGTTTAGCTTTATTAAACTTGTTGAATTTTAAAATGGTTGCTATTACTCGTGGATCGCTGGCATCTTATCGACGACCTCGTTAACCCTTCCCACTCGATTTATAGCCCTCCTATTTGATACAGCCATCCAGTGACAACGTGAGTGAGATCAACTCGTCGCCAATCAAAAGGGATTAAGAGGTTGACGCTCTACCTTCCACTTCTCACTGAATCAACACATAAAAAGAAGTTTTCATCTTTTTGTTTTCTTTTGCAATTACTTTTTAGCAAGCAGAAAGCAAGTTTAAACAAGCAAGTACAGTCGACCCCCCCTATAACGTGGGTTCCTATAACGGAAATTCCTATAACTTAGCGAAAAAATTGTAGCAGTATTTGTATAAAGTGACTCGTAAAACGTCGTCGCAGACTCCTGTCGCAACAAGATTGGTCGAATCTGGACCAATAGTGGACGAGCAGCCGAACTACTTTCTGCCGTTCAGCTCCACGCTACAGAGAGTTTAGGCGGGTAAATTGAGTTTACTATCGTCTGTACAGTATTATATATAAATTAGGTACTGTATATATAATTATATATTAACTTAATTTATTGTAACTTTATTATGATTATATATATACTTTCCGTCATCTAGCGCCACGCTACGGAGAGTTTAGGCGAGTAAGTTGAGTTTAGTATCGTCTGTACAGTATGTAAATTAGGTACCATAAGTCTAATACCGCACTGTAATTTTATACATTTCTTGTGAAAGAAACATTTCTTATTCAACGGCCATAAAAATTATTTATATCAGAAATCGTGGCCCCCGTTTCGTGCGCTGTTTCGCGACGAAAACAAGCTTGAGCAACGGCGTAGTCGAACGGTGCACACTCGGTAAGTAATTATTTGTTTATAGCGTAGTTTATACGGATTATTCCCAAAAAATTATAAGTGTTTTGGAAATGTTGAGTCGAATTAGTCTAGAATCGGTTAATTTTATAGAAGAAAACCTTTCAAACACCCTTAGTCCGTAAACTTCACATGTGTCGGGCTGCGATTGGCTCATGTGTTTAATGATTCCTACAACGTAAAATTCGAATAACGTGGAACGTATCTAAGCGTTATAGGGGGGTCTACTGTACGTCGTGAGAATAACTGAAATGTTCCGTTCATGAAGACATTCATTTTAACAACGGAATTGGCTAAAAATTAATAAAAATACATTGTAGTGTAAAACCACAAAACAAGTAAAAATCATTATATTTGAGAATAAAAAATGTTTTTGAGATACGCGTAGTCACTAATTAAATTTGTATGGCAAAAACATCAAGTAATGTCGATTAGAAATTTAGTTAACTCCTTCGCTACTTTTGTTACCATCCCAATGCCACTCAGAAATCCGCAAAAAATTTATTTTTATATGAAATAATTATTTCCATATAAACGCAAATCTAACATCCAAAAAAATTTCGAAAAATAATTCCCGCGAAATAAAAACCCCTCCAAAAAGTGTTTTTACAAAAAAAGTATATGAAAAAATCAAAATAATTTAAAATAAATGCTTTTATTTGAAAAATATAGCTGTAAGGATTGTTATTCTTTCGTTTAACAAGGAATGAAATTTCACAAGTGCAGTCTACTTTGTTTACAAACTGGTTGACCTCGAGAACAGCTGGAGTCCCCTTTCCCGGTTACTTCTCACGTATGCTTCAGGGGAATATTAGTTTAAAGCAGGAGGGAGCTAACTTACCGCATCCGTTCAAATATAACACAATATTTTCGATTTTTATGCTATTAAATTACGAGGGGACCAAATAAAAGGTATGGGAAAAAAATTCTACCCAACAAAACACAAAAAAAAACGGCTGATGTCATAAGAAACATCCAATAGCGTTTTAAAAAATTTTACAGAAGTCAAATCGGTGAAATGGAAGTTTAGAACGATTTAATTAATTTGATTAAAAAACTCCCATAAAAAACAATAGCGCGATTAATTGCCTAATTAATAAATCGTCATAAAATATTTTCGCGGCAAAAATAAATCGTGAAATTTGCACAGATCATAGAAAACGATGTATATATGTTAATCCATACATTTTCGGAAAAGTTGTCAAAGCTTTTTAAATGTGCCTTTAAAGTTCATGCCCGAGATATCTCGGGATATGGACTGCGCAGTGTCACGTGCAGCCCGAGTTAATTAAGAGCGAATAGTCAAAAAACTTTTCAACAGTAAAGCATTATCGAACTGATTACTACAAAACAAATCACTATTTTAAGCTCTTTACAATACAATGTGTTTGGTATTTTTTAAATTCTAATTCAAATTTCAATTCTTATTTGCAATTCAAATTAATTTTTATAAACTTAATTAAACTATTGTAATAAATAATCCGTAAAGAATAAATTTGTTATATAATATAAACAAAAATAATCAAGGAAACTTTTACCTGAATTTTAAGACTTTTTTCATCATATCTGTAAGTTGTCTGTTTCCCCAAAAGTTATATTCTTCGCAAGAAAAATTGAACAGAAATCCTATCTGTAAAGTGTAAATTAGTGTATTCGATTCGTCTTTTAAAATAAAGCAATTTCACACGGCATCATCAACACATACATTACTTATTCTGATATTCAGATTATTTTTATAAACGTCTACTATTCTTGTTACAAAACATTGAGACATTGAGATAAAGAGGTAAGACAGCTATCCGTTTTTTGTAGCTACGAACTTTGCTCTGTGGGAAGTAAGAAGGAAGGAGAAAGCATGAGATCGAAGTGTGAAAAGAAAGGGAGAGAGAATAGTGTGAAGAGAAAGCATGGGAGGCACCATGGGTGCCTGCATTGCTTTCGTCACAATGATTTTACAGATTACATGAAAAAATACATAGCTAAGTTTGATACTAACAAGGTTACAAATGAGTATTTACAGATTCAGATAATAACAATTGGTTACATTATTAATATTTACAATACGGAAGCTGCTGTGGTATACATTTAAATGCCGAAGAATTTTACATATACAGTACTACAATTTCCATACAAACACAAGTGGTAGTAAATACAATAATCGTGCGTTACATTATTAATCCATTGGTGGCCTCGTTAGGCTGTGGGATAGTATGTTGTTGGTGGCCCTACTGCTGAAGCCGCTAGCGTTCAGGGTCTTTGTCTTGTGCACAAATTCAGTTAGACTTTTCCACAGTTTTCTGTTGTTGAAAACGTCTGGTGGATTCGGTGGCCAGTTCTGGCCTTCGGTAAGGCATTTTCCCATGAATTGGAGCCTTTCGTTGTCGTGTTTTGGGCAGTTGTAGAGGAAGTGCTCTTCAGTTGCTTCGCTGGTGTTGTCACAGTCGCAAATATTGTTATTTGTTTTGCCGAATCGATGTAGGTAAGCAGCAAAGTTACCGTGTCCGGTAAGAATCTGCGTGGTTTCGGCTTCTGGAGTGTAGTGGTTGGCTTTGAACCTTTGGGTGATAGAAGGGATGTAGGTGTAGGTTTTCCTTCCTGTATCTGCATGGTCCCACTCATTTTGCCAGTCTGTAAGAGCGATGCTGGCTAGCTGCTTCTTCACCCAAGTATGGGGAAGTTTCCCATAGGAGGGGTTTTTGTTGAGGGTACATGCTTTCTTGGCTAGTTTGTCTGCCAGCTCGTTGCCAGCGTGCCCTTTATGTGCTTGGATCCAGTTGAAGTATAGTTTCCTGTTTTTACCAAGATTGTTTGCCTCTGCTATTAAGTCTGCAGAGAGACCTATGTATCTCCTGTTGTGTTTGAGTATGTTGAGGGCTGTCCTGCTATCCGTGTGAATGCGGATATTGCCTTTGTATTTATGGTAATTGTCCTTGATGTGGTGGATGGCTTTGAGTAGCGCCCATAACTCTGCTTGTACATTCGTACAGTGGGCTGCCATTTTGTAGTATGCCTGGTAGTGGGTTTTGTTGTTATTGTCCATTATAACCACTCCAGCGCCAGTTCCTTCATCACGCCTGGAACCGTCAGTGTAAATGTTCCAAGCCGCTGTTGTTTGGTTTTCCTCTTGGTCCATACTGACGGTATACTCATTTACCTTGTGTGGGTGGTTTGAGTCTACTTTGTTTTGGTTTGTTCCATCCAGTCCAAATTTTTGGATATTGGTCGTGATATTTGCCATACTTTTAGTTATCCTGTCATTGGCCTGGTTGTAATTTTTGATGTTGTTCAGCCAGGGAAACTGTCCCCTTGAAGCGAACCAATACCAAGCAATGGTTTTTGCCTGGATATGGATTGGTGTAATTCCGGCCAAAACCAGGAGGGCACTGGTTGGGGCAGTGCGGTAGGATCGACATATTTGGATTGCGAATCTTCGTTGTATAGAGAGTAACTGTCTTCTAACATGGATGTTGTAAACTGCCTCGTACCAAACTGGAACAGCGTAAAGGAGAGCCGGCTCCATGGCGGCTTTGTATATTGTTTTAGTATATACCCGTTATCCATTTTAAGATGTTGGCCTTTTGTGTCAAGTGCTGGCAGATTTGTTTCACATGATGGTGCCAGTTTAGTTTTTCATCCAGGTATACTCCCAGGTATTTTAGCTAGTATTAAATTACTTTAAAAAACGAAAAATAATTATATCATTTGATTTCATGATATTTTGTATATCTTAAAAATAATTAATTTTGTGCCAGGATTTCCTGGAATCCCAGGAAACAGTTCATTTTTATCCCAGAATCAACACAGTTTACACTGTCACATGTCATGTACATGGACTACATAAAACTTTATGCATCTACACAGAAACAACTTCATCAACTCCTACAAATCACACATTCATACACTTAGGACATACAAATGGAGTTTGGTCTAGACAAATGCAAAACACTTCACATAGAAAAAGGAGTCCTGAAGAAAGAAGATTTTGCACTTGGAAATGGGGAAATTATTGAATCCATGGAAGAGGGCGAGTTCTACAAGTATTTAGGATTCCAACAGGCCAAACTAACAGAACATACACAAATAAAACAAAAATTAATTAAAGAATATCAAAGTAGATTAAACGCTATTCTCAGAACACAGTTAAAGCAATAAACACTTATGTTGTCCCAGTACTCACATATTCTTTTGGCATTATACATTGGACTCACATGGATCTTGAAAAACTCCAAACAAAAACAAGAACAATACTTATTAAGCATAAGCAACATCATCCTAAATCTGCCGTAGAAAGACTAACCCTTCCACGTAAAGATGGCGAACATGGCCTGGTTGACATAGTTAACCTTCACTACAAACAAATACAGACACTGAGAGAGTTTTTCTACAGGAAACATCACAATTACATAAAGCAGTAACTCTAGCAGACTTAAATAACACACCATTAAATTTACTCTCACAACATATAAAAAAGCGTAGGCATCATCAAGGAATTGTGGGCTCAAAAGGCAATCCATGACAGGCATCCCTAAGACTTGGTCCGGGATTTTGTTGACAAAACCGTGGTTAACTCAGGAACGCCTCTTTGGGGAGATGGAAGGATTCATGATTGCCATACAGGATCAGGTCATAAATACTAAAAACTACAGAAAACACATACTCAAAGATACAACATTCACAAATAACATGCAGAATATGTCACAAACTATACAACACATCACTTCCAGTTGCAAGCTCTTGGCACACAGATTATTTACACAGACATAATCAAGTAGCAAATATAATACACCAAGAGCTTGCAAAGAAACAAATTATTAGACATCCACAAACCATACTACAAATACATTCCACAGATAGTATTAGAAAACAACATGCACAAAATGTACTACAACAGAGCCATAATCACAGATAAAACAATTTAACACAACAGATCAGACATCACACTCACTGACAAACACAAGAAAATCACATACATTATACACATAGCCATTCCAAACACTCACAATGTACAAAACACATGCACTGAAAAAATTAGCAAGTACACAGAACTTGACCACGAAATAAGGCATCTGTGGAGGATGGATAGGGTGCTTATTGTACCTGTCATTCTCTCCTGTACAGGTGTGATACCATACACACTACACAAAAACCTGGGAACATTACAATTGAATAGAAATATATAAATCACACTACAGATGGCCACTATATTGAATACATGCCACATTGTTAGGAAATTCCTGAATACAGACACTGACACACTTATTTAATTTTAGTTTTGTGTTGCTATGCCTTGACTCTGGTCCAGCATTGTACACAGCCACCGTTGTCAACCGAGTATAACCCTCTAAACCCAATATAAAAATAATAATAAAATAAAAAGTATTTATATAATTGCATTTGTCTGACATGAGTTACATATCCAATTATATAAAACATAACTTTGAAGAACAATTATTATAATATAAAATCATTATTTGATTACCTTCTTCATTTTTCAAGGTTTCTACAATCATAGAAGATAAGTTACATAAGTTGGTTTTTTGTTGAGAAATAGGAATAACACCTGGTTGTCCATCAACAGGAAAATGAACAACAGAATTGAGAGGTGGAATTCTGTGTTTCTGCTCAAGTTTTGGCAATCCATCCCTGTTTTCAATCTGGCAATTACTCTGCAAAAACACATTTAAAATATTTAACTTTTTAATTTTAGTTACAAAACTTTGTTAATAATATAAAAATAATTATATTTTTACATAATAAAACATAAAAATTAGCAAAAAATCCATTCCTCATTTATGATTTACTATTATAGTTCACAAATTAAATTATATTATTTATAAAATATTCAATTTAATTAAGCATCTAATAATGTTCTAGAAAAATAAAATAGTCTTCTAAACCAGTGATTCTTAACAGGGGGCCCCTTGGGGTCCGTAAGAAGTGTGCCAGGGGCCACCAAATAATGTAAAATTTTCTTCAGAATATAATAAAAAGAAAATTGATGTGTAACCAAATATCTTTCTTATTTCACTTTCCTATAGGAAAGTGAAATAAGAAAGATAAAGTTAAAGTTTTCCTAATTAGTTTTTATTTATTTATTTCTTATTTCTTCCTACATACAACTTTGTTAGTACAGAAAAAATAAATGCAAATATGCTACATACACCACAGTATTTACTTCTTTTATTTTAAAGTAATTCTAAGAAACTATTAATGCTTGGAATCTTAAAAATAATTAGGAAAAATAGTAGGCTTAGTAGTAGGCAAAATCTTTACCACAAGTTGTGGGTGTTTTAGTATAAAACATTTTCCCTTTCATAAAGTAATTAGCACTGAACTGTTTTATGACTTTTCCTGAGGTGAGAAATTGGGGGTTGAAGTTCTATTTCTAGCCAACACACTTTCTGGTTTAGATATCAAATATTTTAAGTCTAATACATAGTATTATAACGATTTTTGGAAGAATGAAATAGAATAAAATGATGGTGTTAGAACATCATTTCCGATGTTATCAGGAAGTTTCTATTTTGGAGGAAAATTTTCAATTTTATGCTCTGGAAAACGCGCTTATTCATCTAAATAGAGTCAAATAACATAAAAATAAGTGAAAATAGCACTGAAAAACCATGAAAATAACGATTTTTTACATTTTAGGTTCTGATTGGTATAGTCAAATCTTTTCTGAAAAGACACTTATTTGTCAACCTAATTTCATTCAAACTAGAAAATACCAATCAAAGTTCAAAAAGGAATGTACAAAAACTATAACAACCAATTATTTACAACAAAGTCTCTCCATAGACTAACAATAGGAAAAACTTTTATGCTGGACCAAGAAAATTTATAGCTGGAATAGGGTCATACGACTAAAAGAAAGCCGGTTGCACTAAAAAGTTTCCAATTTAATAATTATTTCAAACTGCATCAGGCCATAAACTTCCTGTGATTATCAACACTATGCAAAGTAATTAGACTCCTTGTGTCAACAAAGAGGGTTGTAAAATGGTCTGGCCCCCAGGTCCATAAACTTAATCTTAACCCAGCCCTTCTTCAGAAAAGGTTGTGCATCCCTGGTTTTAGCATCAACTTTGGATCGAATAATAGTGCATTTCTTTCTTATATTATGTGCTTAGTTTTAATTATTTATAATTAACCCATAAAAATGAGCAAAAAACAGAAAGGAACGTTAGAAAATTTTTTTAATATATATAATTACGGACCGGGACTTTCAAACAGAAAATATAGTGACGAAAATCCTAGTGAAAGTTCCGATAATAATGATACAGTAAAAAGTGCAATGGAAAAAACCACAAGTCCTAAAACTAAAGGTATGAAATTAAGTAACATTAAAATTAGAAAATATGATCGTGATTATATCAAATATGGGTTCGTAAGCATAGAAGTTCAAGGAATTACAAAACCACAATGTGTCATTTGCAGTGTAGTTCTCTCCAATGAAGCAATGAAACCAAATAAATTGCCAAGGCATTTAAATTCTAAGCACAAACAATATAAAAACAAAACGAGGAATTTTTTTATAAGAAAAAAAGACGAAATCAAAAGACGCTCATAAATGTGAGAACTACTAAAGATAAAGAATTATTAAAAGCTTCATTTATTGCAGCTCTTCACATTGCTAAAGCAAAAAAACCATTTACAATAGCCGAAGAATTATTAAAACCTGCCATGTTTAATATTTGTAAAGAACTATTTGAACTGTTTGTGTCAAACAAAATTAAGGAAATACCTATGTAAAATGATACAATTTGTAATAGGACTATATTGATAGCTAATGATATTCAGGAGCAGTTAACTATCAACATTAAAAATTCTCCTTGGTTTTCATTGCAAATCGTTGAATCTACAGATATTGCTAACAGGAGCATCTGCTTAGGATACATGCAATTTATTGATTATGTAAAAATGGATATATCTGAAGAATTTTTTTTTGCATAGATTTAGAAACAGATACAACAGGTGAAAATATATTTAACAAAATTGATTCATTTCTGAATACTAATGGCTTACTCTGAAAAAACTGTGTTGGAATTTGCACAGATGGTGCTGCCTCTATGACTGGTCGTTATAAGGGCATTACATCAATAATAAAACATATTGCGCATGAAAATATAATAACTACTCATTGTTTCATTCATAGGGAACAATTAGCTTCCAAGGAAATGAGTACAAAATTGAATGAAGTTATGATGATTTCAGTAAAAATTATAAATTTCATAAAAGGAAATGCACTAAATTCAAGATAATTTTCAATTTTTTGTGAAGAAGTTGGTGCAGATATTACTTCTCTCCTATTTCACACAGAAGTGAGATGGCTCTCGAGGAAAAATCTTTAATCGTTTATTTGAATTGAGACTGAAAGTTGAACTTTTTTTAAAAGATAAAAAATCCAGCCTATCAAGCTATCTTGATGACAATAATTGGGTTGCTAAACTGTCGTATCTGGCGGATACTTTTACAATTCTAAATCAGTTGAATCTATCTATGCAAGGATCTCAATCTAATATTTTTAATATGTATAACAAAATTGAGGCTATGAAAATGAAATTACAAAGATGGATCCAAAGAATAGATTCAAATATATATGAAATATTTCCATTCTATTCACAATTAATCTCTGATTCAAAATTTCAATTTGAGAAACAAAATGTAAATTCCTTAATTAAATGTCATCTTTTAAAATTAATTGATAAATATTTTCCTAATGATGAAGCTCACATTACAAAACTGTGGATTCAAGATCCATACAACAATTATAAAAATACCAATTTATCATCAGCTGATGAAGATACATTATTAGAATTAATAAATGACTGTAATTTGAATTCTGTGTTCAAAACTAAAAGTGTGTCCCAATTTTAGATACAAATTCGTGCAGAATATCCTTCCCTGTTTTCAGCAGCAATGCAAAATTTGCTGCCTTTTGCTAGTACATATTTGTGTGAGAAAGGGTTCTCAACTATGGTGGATATAAAAACAAAAAAACACAATCGATTGCAATTAGATGCCTGCATGCAGATAGCATTACAAACAATTGAACCAAGAATTAACAAATTAGTTGAGGATATTCAGCAGCAGAAATCTCATTAAATTATTTTCGAATATTTTTTTGTTTTTTCTATGAATTTTTAAATGTTTTTTATTTTATTCTTTGTTAAAAATTAAATAGTCTTTATGTTTAATTGTGAAGTTTATTATTTCATTATCTATTTAAATAACATACAAAGTCATGATTTACATTTATTATATAAAAAAATAAAGCAATAATAATAAAAACATCAATTTATTATAGATAATTTAACAATAAATTATTATTTAAAAAAATGGGGGTCACAAAAAAATTATGAAATATTTGGTGGGCCGCAAGTATAAAAAGGTTAAGAACCACTGTTCTAAACAAATTATGAAACAAAAATCCTTAATTTGTTAAATTTAAGCATCTCTATCATTTTCTGTCAGTCCTTTAAAATGTCAATTTCATAAATGATCAACATTATTTTAGACCATAAGCTTACATTTAAATGTTACATTGATAAAACAGTAAAAGCACTAATAATATGTCATGGTAGGTTTGCAAAATTGCCAAAGAATATCTACTCAAATAATGTGCTGCACACTATTTTCCTCACAAATTTCCAATCTATTGTCAATTGTTTATTGATGTGGGCCATGGCTGCCCCGTCCCTCTTAAATAAAATCTCTAAACAACACAACAAAATTTATATAACTTTAAATTTACTCTGTAATCTATATCTTGTACTAACCACCTTGATGTTACCAGGCTCAGACTAGGTCTTCTGATGTTTAAAGAAATGATAAAGTAATTGGTTGAAATATTTAACACTTTCTTTAAAGTATTAAATATTTGAACCAATTACTTTATCATAAATACTTTAACAATAAGATACAGTCAGATTGGCTACACTTGAGAATACCTCAGCAAAACTCATATATAATGTGTATCTCATGTATCACTCCCTTTCACAGACTATCTATTTCACAAAGATCATACTTTTATTGCATTTCTTTTAATATGACAAATATTGAATATCTATTACACATAAATAGTATGCATTTTTAAACATGTTTGTAAATACATTCATTATAATTCCTACTGTGAATATATGAGGGTCATTCTAAAAGAAAAGAACGTTTTAATCTGACAAGTCATGCAGTTCTCCCATCCCCCAACTGCCGCATCAAGGACCTTCCCATTTTTCACACCAGTCTGACGCTAACAGCAAGCCGCAACAATTGTTTACTGTTTATAGTGTGACTTTGAAATGTGTGATAAAATTAAATATCCTGCCAAGCATGAGGTTCATAGTGCAATATGCTTTTTGAATGCAGAAAAAGTCTGCCCTATCGAAATTTACAGACAGATAACCAAGTTTTATGGTAATGTGATAAATAATGCTTCAGTTCAAAACAAATGGCAGGGATTGTTGTCCAGAGGCATTGTGCTTCTTCACAATAATGCAGGTCCACATGCTGCTGCATTGACAAAGAATTTACTTCAGCAGTTTAAGTGCAAAGTTTTTGAACATCTTCCTTATAGCCTGGACTTGGCTCCAAGTGATTATCATCCTTTCCCAAAACTGAAAAATTTTTTGGCAGGGAATCACTATGGAAGTGACAACAAACTGAAAGA